TATTCTAAAACACAATTATTTTTATTGTAATTGAATTAACAAAAAAAAAACTTTTGTTGAATTTTAAAAGTTATATGATGTACTAATGGTTAGTAACAAAAACTAATTTGTGGATTAATACTGCATTTAAAACACTTAGCGAGTGTTTTTTTTTTCCAAACCAGTTATTTGATTAACCAAAAACACCTTGTATATTTTTATATTTTAAAGGTTGGGTTAAAATAAAGGTTTTTATTTTTATTTATAGATAGCATGTGAGAAGAAATTTCAGATAGACCAACATGTGAGAACTGCTTCACACATTGCAAAAAAAAGGAAAAATAGGAGGAAAACATCAAACTTCAATGGCTAAATGTTTCCAATCTACTTCAAAAAAATTAGATGAGCAAGAAACTTTTTATGAAGACTTGTGTCGCGCATTAGTGTCTGCAAACATACCGCTTTCAAAATTAGCAAATGTAAATTTTAGTTCGTTTCTAAAAAAATATTGCAAACTTAATGTTCCAAGTGATCGGTCTCTAAGAAGAATAATGTGAACGGGCTATACTCGTCGGTGTAAATTAATATTAAGGAAGAAATTGCAGATAATTATTTTTACATATCTGTAGACGAAACCACTGATTCCTCAAGAAAGTATATTGCTCATTTATTGATTGGTGTTCTTAAAGAAGATACCTTACCAAATTCTCATCTTATTTCATGCCAGCAACTGAGGAAAACAAATGCTTTAACAATTTCGCGTTTTATACAAGAAACATAAGCAACTTTTTTTCTTCCGACAACTATTCCTTCTAATAAATTACTGCTTATTTTATCGGATGCTGCTCTTTATATGGTGAAAGCAAGACAAAATTTAAAAATATTTTTCCCAGATTTAATACATGTTACTTGTGTAGCGCATGGATTAAACAGAGTTGCAGAGGAAATACGAAAAATGTTTCTTCTTGTAAATACCATGATATCCAGTGTCAAAAAAGTATTTCTTAAATCTCCTATAAGAATTCAACTTTATAAAGAAATGCTACCTAACATTCCTCTTCCACCACAACCTATTTTAACGCGATGGGGAACATGGTTAGAAGCAGCTAATTTTTATGCAGATCATTTTGTTAAAATAAAGAACATAATTGATACGTTAACAGATGAAAGTTCCCATTCTCTTTTGGATTCTAAACAAACTTTTCAGAGTAACTTGCTTCAACAAGAACTTTCATTTATAAAATCAAATTTTAGTTTTGTTCAAAAAACAATTACTCAGTTAGAATCACCAAAACTGTCATTGTTCGAAAGTACAGCATTAATAAAAGAATTTGCGTCATGTTGTCGGAACGTTAGAGGTAATATTGGAGAAGATATTTTAAAAAAATTTGAAGCTACTATGGAAAAAAATAAAGGTTACCATATTCTTTCTGAAGTAGTCAGTGTTCTAGCTGGAAATATTTCGAAAACAATTAATTTAGAACCAAATGTTTTGGTTAGTTTGAAAAATGCTCCCGTTACATCAGTTGATGTTGAACGAAGTTTTTCCATATATAAATATAAGTACTCAGACAGAAGCCACAAGTTTTTGTTAGAAAATTTTGAACACCACTTGGTCATTTATTGTTACCATAATTCTAAATAAATTTATTCATACTTAAAAATGATGTAGTTACTTAAAATAAATGTAAATCTTAATGAATAGTAGGAAATATTTAGTTATGTACACTTTTTTTTTAAATAAAATTGTTACTATTTTACGATTTTTTTATTTATTTGTATGCATATTTTGTAAAATATTTGCATATTTTCGGGTAAACACGTGCATATTTATGCGCATATTTTCTACATTTTTATTTGCATATTTGCCGAAGTCTAGTCATAACTATGGAGACCTATCAAACAGCTTGCAGCTCTCCCTGAAAGATTCCCGATTTCTTACGAGGTTTTATGTACGCAAATATTTTTTCGATGTTTCCATTTTTTAATTGTGACCTTAAAACATGTTTAAATAACGGTCAAACCTACCGTAATAATTACGGTAACTATTTAAGTCTCCTTTGAATTTTAGAAACCTAATTTATATTCAATTTTAGGTCTAAGTCATTTACGTGCCAAATTATGGATAGAGAAAAAAAATGTCTTCCTGGAACATTATCACGATAAAGGTAACAATTAGTATGAAGTATTATACTCAATACTCTTTAAATATATTTTTAAAACACAATAAAATGAACAAAAAGACTTAACCAAACCAATACATAATTACTTTTGAATTGTTACAACCCCTTTTTATGGGTATCCAAGTAGGTATAGTTATTGCCGGCATGATATAACGTTAGAAAATTTATTGAGAACAATTTTCTAAATAGAAATACGTGCTATACATGATATAGAATTATACTATGCTTACCAACTATGACCACTGCCGGCTTATGTACGTGGCACTTCTATCCAGATATTTCTCTCGCACGTACAGCGACCCTTTGCATTATCCTTTCTTTTATCTCTCTGTTGCTTATGTTATGAATTTTTTCGCCTGTAGTCTCCTTCTCACTAAAATTTCTTTTAACGATTTTTGTCATGGTCTCCAGCACTTCTACAAACTCAATTTCTCCCCTTCCCACTATGGCCCTAAAATCGTGTGCTCCAAAAACGCCTACACTTGCGTATAGCGACGCTCTTTCATCATTAAACTTACTGCATTCAAACACACAACGGTCTGATTTGTTAGTTTATTCGCAGTCCATACAGCTACCATCTATTGCTTTGCATATCCTCTTAAGGTATGCTCTAAATAACCGGTGTCGCCTGAGGAATTGCGTGAAGTAGTGGGTCGTTTTATATTTGCACTCTACCCACTTCTCCACTCCTCCAAAACCGAGATCAGACTCCTTTTGCCATTTACCATTTTGTGATGATTTCTGTTCTTTCTTATGTCTTCTTTTGATTATTCTTGGCTCTCTCTTTTACTTGCAGGTTTATTGGTGGTACCGCGGATATAACTAAAGAGTTACCGTCGAGGACGTTCTATAGGCGCATACGATCTTTAATAAAGCTTTTCTCTGGGTATTCTCTAATATTTATTTGTACTTTTATTTGTTCGTTACTTGATGTCACACCTGCATCAGAATTTTTCTTTTTCCAGTACTTGGGAATGCTATATTTGGCATAATTATAAAATATCTGCTTATTTTCCATCATCACTCCTAAATATTTAACATTTTTAGCTTGCATTATTCTTTTTCCTTGAGGGCGAATTAGATGTGATCTTTATGACTTTTTAGTATGAGGGTTTTCATTTGTTGCGTAGATGTTCCAGAACTACCGTCCTAGGACATAGCCCTCTCGGCCCATGTTAATCGGTCTACTTGAAAAGTATTTCTTCACTATATTTTATAAATATTGAGATACTTCCAATTTCTCCAGCATTCCAGTTATTACTCCCTAGCTCGGGCAATTGAAGGTATTTTTAATGTACACAAACAATGTCACCAATTGCTTTCTCTTACATATAGCAGTTACTTCCGTGATCTTCTGACTGCGTCTATGGATTTCCCTTCCTAAACCCTTATTGGATTCAGACAAATCCCCTTACTCTATGACTTCTTTCTCTAGCCTCGTATTTATAAGTATTTTGAAGATCTTTTCCACATTATTTATTTGGCAAATCGGTCTAAAAGCTCGCAGTTCCTTAAGTTCTCTCCTGGGTTCGAGAATAATGAAGAGGTTTGCCGTTTTTCATGCTTGTGTGAATTTTTGCTTTCTCAGGAGGTTTTGATTCATGAAATTTTTTTCACCTGTGGTACATTTTCCTCTATGACTATCTTTACTATTTGAGAAGTATAACAGTCTGTTGTCGGCATCGCTACATGCAACGGTGCGCTCTCTCTTTTTTGATTTTGAGTATGGTACTTCTTTTGAGATTTTTGGTAACTATTTAATACGCATCATTCTAGATGTCATTCTCGAGGTTCTCGTACATTTCTTGCCAGCGCATTTTCTTTTCCTTGTTCATATTCTTTGTAAGTTATTTCTTTAAAGTTTTTAACCGCTCTGCCTCTTCCTTCACCAGTTGGTTCTTATCTTTGTCTTTACTCTAGTGACTTTTCTTCTCATTTCAATGTATATCCTTTATATTATCTGTCCACCAATATGGGTACCTAACTACTTATTCTTCTACCTTGTGGGCAGCACATTCTAGTCAGCTCATTGATTTTTTCGTTTGACTCAACACATTCATGAAATGTCACATTATGTAAATTAATAATGACAACAGGCAAAACACTAGATAAAATAGAAAGAGTGAGAAAGGGAGAGAGAAAGATCGAGAGAGAGAGAGAGAGATAGAGATAGAAAGAGTGAGAGTGAGAGGGGGGGAGACAAAAAGGAAAGGTAAGAATCTACCTATACAAAAAAAAAACAAAAAAAAACAAAAATTCCATGAAAATAAATAAATTGTGTGTTAGAAAGAATTAGAAAAATAAAAATAAAAGAAATATTAAAAATAAACCGAAATGTTTTTTTTTCAAGAGAGATTGAATTTTTCAAATGAAATATCATTTTGGTTACACGCATGTTTAGGTAATCTTCTTATCAAATTTTGATAATTAAACTATAAATACTGTATTTGTATGTATTGTAAACAACTCTTTCCCTATTAAACCTATTTGAAAAAAATGTTTTTAAAGCAGTACCCATCTACTACAAATAAGAAAAATATGACATCATCAACCTATTTAGAATAAAGACATTTAGAATAAATCTTCCCGAACGCTAATATTAAAAAACAAGTTTTTATAATTGCTATTTATGTACTCATTCTATTTTTTATATATTAAAGGATTTCATTTAAATAAAGTTTTAATTCAATTTTGGATAAAAAATGGTAGTCCACATAGCATTTTAAAAATACCTTTGTATATATAGGATATCCATCCACTATGAATCATATGTTTTCAAATAATTTTCATTCTGTCAATTTAAACTTATCTTGTTGGTTGTCAGTATTTGATCAAAACATGGGGAGTAATTTATTAACTTTGGAACAAATCCATATTTATTTACTTGAAAATGGTGGTAAAGTTAAAAATCGTGATATTGTTCGGTATTTTAAAAGTTATTTAACAGATCCTGTAACTAAAGGTTAGTCAATTTTTGCTCAACATACTCTAAAACATAAAAAAATCAGCTTTGTTTACGATATTGTCACAACAACCTGTAGATTCAATGTTTTATTTTTGGATTAAATCGTGTTTGTTTACCTATTTAAATAGTTAACAATGTATTTATAGTGAGTGCAAAATATTTGTGTACACATATTACTACATAAATAATCTATTGTAGTTAATATATCATTCATTACATAGACTTTACTTGAAAATTCAGATTCTTTATGTATTTAAATTGTTAATGTTTACACTCACAGATTCTTTCTAATTTGTTTATCAAATATGAATATCCAACTGTTGGATATAATGTAAATTGTGTGGATTAGAACAGTTTTGCTAGTGTATTATTTGGTATTATATTATTAGCAGGTGAGAAACATAACCTCAATTTTTTTATATTTCATTCCAGTGTTCAAGTGAAATAATGTAGCAATAGGTGAAGGTAATATATGAATATAACTAATAAACATATACTACATGCTACCAATTACATGGATTGACATTATATTATTTCAGTAATCAAGATTATTCAATTCTTTCCCACTGATATAAAATATCTGCTTTATGAAAATTATATCTTATTATTTACAAGTAAAACTGTAACAGTTTGTTATTACATATATACAGTGGTCATGCCATCTCAATTTTGTGTTATGATATTACCAAACATTATATGTATGTATAAATATATCTCACAAACCTAAAATTAAGCAATATAACTGTAATATAACCATTCTTCATGTGGTGTCATTGAAGATTTGGGTGTAGGTTATACATATGCATTTGTCATTAACTGTACATATAGATATTTAAGAGTTATACTAGACAAATTACTACTTAGTGATTTATTGTTACCTTTGGAACATTATGTTGTCAAGTATAATGAAGTGTTGTAAAAATATTTTCATTCTAGAATGTAACAGTAATGTTTATTATTTTATAGCAAATTTAAGTAATATTGCTGGTTCTGTTTAATCACATTACTGTTCAATCACTGTTTTCTTTTTTTTTCTTATTATTTTCTTAAGTACTTAATAGCTGCAAATTTCAGTGTCGACAGCGTTGAAGTGTTGGAACACTATATTTATTTTATATTTATTGTATCCTATATTATTCATAATGTAACCATTTTTTTTATTCTGTATGTAACCAGTTGTTTTGTATTCTCTAGGAGGTTCTTTGGAATGATCAGTAGTAGAGATAATAATAATTGGTACTTGCGTTTTCCACTGTATCTTTACTTGTTTAATTTCTTTTTGATTTAATCTTCATTTTCATGATTTAATATTGGACAATAATTTTCATCAGAATGCAAATGGATGTGATATTTGTTTAGGTACTACTTTTAACCCGCTCTCATGCATTGAATCATACTTAGACTTTAAAAATGTGTAATAATTATTGTGCTGTTAATGGTTATTTTGGACCTGCCAATGAGAATTTTATTATTTTAGAAAATAATATTAAAACTGCTGTACAATTTTTTTTATTAGGTATTGCAAATTTTGTTACTATTAAAAAGTTTGTTTCTTCTAGATTCCTCCGATAGTATCATCCTTATCTCAAACGTGTCATATTGGAAAAAAAAAGAAGGCTTATGAATATGATATGAACTTCCAAAAATTCTCATTCTCAAAACTACTACATTGTTTTTTCTAATTCATGATCTCAGTGTAAAAACTTGCCTAGAGAGTGTTATAAAGCTTATGTTAGTCATTTTAGACCAAAATGTTCATTATGATGCCAAACAATTCTGGAATTTAGTTAACGCATTTAGAAAAGACTATGATGGTATTCCCATTAATTTGTTGTTAGACAATAAGTGCTGTGATACTGGATCTGGAATAGCTAACCTTTTTGCATCTTATTTTCCTTCTGTTTACACTAATGAAGACCTGAATGTTGGTAACCTGTCTAACTCTGAACAATTAACTACTGTTAACATTCTTGTCTATAATATAACTCTTGCAGAGATATTCTCAGGTATTCAAAGTTTAGAGGATAACTTGAGCTACAGCCCTGCTAAGATTCTATCTCATTTTCTCATAAGGTGTGTTTATACTTTAAAGAAACCCATTTGCATGTTGTTTAACCAGTTACTTGTAACTGGAAAACAGTTTTGTCATGCTGGTACATAAATCCTAATTTCCTAAAGTGTAATGTCAAAAACTACCATCCTATCAGCACGCTAGGTGAGATTCCCAAGTTGTTTAAACTACTTGTGACAAAATTTCTTTCTTGGCATTGTAAGAAGTTTGGTCACTGGTAGGTTCACAGTAACTAATCTCTTGTTATTCCAAAATGATATAAATAATTCAATAGAGAGTGGCAGTCAAATGGATGCTATTTATTCTGATTTCAATAAAGCCTTCGATAGGTTAAATTATGCTGCTATATTCAGGAAATTAGATATAATGCACTTTCCAATATGGCTTACCTTATTGTTATCAAGTTTTCTTAGTAATAGAACTCAGAAAATTAAGAACCACTTATCTAATCCAATTTCAGCTCATCCTGGTGTTCTTCAAGGATGTCACCTTCGATCATTGCTTTTTAATCTGTTTATGAACGATATTGGGATAGGTACATGACAAACTATATTTTGGAACTAGCAATAATCCTGGATATGATATACTTGAACCAACAGCAGCACGAGGTCGATTGTTAACACATTCTAGCAAAAAATGATGCTGCAAATTGGTCTGAGGGGTACTTTTTCTTTGTTTATTTTTGGGACTTTTTATAGGTGCGGTGTTCTACTGTAGTGGGGTGTTAGTAATCTTCTTTGGTAGTTTGTCATGCAGTTTATGTAGTGTTTTGTATATTTAATTCTCCAATAATTTGGTAGGGTATTTGTGTATGGTCCATTTATGTCTAATTCTTGAATTTTCTCCTGCTATTGAGTTTTGTCCATGATTAGGTACAGTTGTGTTACTTTTGACAGATGGTTATATTATGGACTCATCTTCTTGTAGAGCTTTGATAGCTTCACTTAAGTCTTTACTAACATTTGCTTTTAATTTTGTGCTTTTTTGGCAGTTCTTTTTCGCACATTACTCTATATTTTTTCTTTTGTGTTGGTAGTTGGGGAAAGACTTTTTAACTGCATCAATTATGTCTAGTTTAGGAACTCATGAGCAAGTTACAGCAACATTTTAGACCATTTGATAATAATTTGATTAATAATTCTAATGTTAGTTTCTTAATATCACTATTATCTGTTTTAAATTTAATTCCTTAGGCACCAATTTCTTCTACCACATCATTTCTAGTTGTACTTGGCTCGTTTCATCCTAAATTTATTTATCTCTTTAGCTATTTACGATTCATTTTAAAGATTGTTATAAAATTTCTAATACATATTTGCCGATACAAAAAACATCTTAAGTACACAACGACCTTTATAAATATTTTTTCTAGTTTTTTATGTTTGGTTTTATTTGATTAAATCAATACCTACATTTAGATTGTTTAACTATTATTATTGTTTTAAACTTATCTTTTAATTAACTTTATCAATACCTGTCTGGTGTCTGCTAAAGATATTCCTGAGAATTAGTCACCCAATTTGTATTATTAGAATTGAGTACGTGCAAGAATGTATCGGTAATTTAATAACACAATTACATTTTTCTTTTCTTACAGTCACTTTTAGATGAATCACAATAGAAACTATTTTTCAATATCAATGTTGGTCAATTTAGTTTGTTCATTTATTAGACGATTGTGGTGCTTGAAAATGAAAAAGAACAGTAAGTTTTGAATTTTGAAAATCGATAAATCCGGGAAATTTATACATACCTCCAATTAAGTCGGCACCATAGGGGAATCTTTTTTATTTTTAGTTTTATAAAAAAAGTTACGAAAGTCCGATATAAGATGCTTAAGTGTTACGTGTGGCCTGTTCTCCTATACGGAATGGAAACATGGACGTTAAAGGCCAGTTCCATTAACAAACTTCTTGAAGTGTTTGAAATGTGGTGCCTGCGTCGAATGCTTAGAATATCATGGACGGACAGGGTCAGAAATGAGGAAGTACTCAGAAGAGCGGGCTTACAGGATAGAGAACTTTTTAGTTATGTAAAAAGTAAGAAGACTGCATACTTGGGGCACATATTACGAGGAGAAAGATACACCTTTCAGCAACTGATACTCGAAGGGAAGATAGAGGGTAGGAGAGGTCAGGGACGTAAAAAATGTCATGGCTGCGCAATATTCGACAATGGACAGGAATCCACAGCTATGAAATGCTTTGCAATGCTTGTAAAAACAGAATTATTTAATCCTGAATATTTAACATCTCACCTGACAAGACGATGTACGGTGGACGCCTACGCAGAAATGCACGTCACCTTAAGAAAAAGAAGAAAAAAGTTATTCTTTATAAAAGGTTCTGCATGTTCTAAAACCGAAAATTCAATTATCAAATCTGTGATCAAATATTAAATTGTTTCAGTTATATACGCGGTTTGTCAAAAAATATGAACATAGAATTCATATTTTTTGACAAACCACGTATATGCCTGAAAAATTTAATATGATGTGTGTATTCTATGTTTTAGATCATAAAGAACTTTTTTATAAAGAATCACATTTTTTCATAAAACTGAGGAGCATTCGCCTGTGCGAAATTTCCATCAGCTTAGCGTATTTCGCAGTATTTAGTACGTTACACCCACCACACGGGGCAGCGTAGGTAACAACCTTCTGGAAAACTCCATTTAGCATCTTTCGGTTGGCGCTACCTGGGCCTTCAATGTTTGGTATCAGCCGTATCAACGCCTCCAGATTTTGGTTCGCCTTCTCTACCGTCTTTTGGATGTGTATTCCAAAACTTAGTCCTTCCGACAACCAGACTCCCAGATACTTAATCGATTTAACCGGTGCAACCTCCGCACCTTCCACTATAAAGTAAAGAGAGGATTTTCCAGGCTTCCTTCCTGAGAACTAACATCTCAGTTTTTTGAGGCGCTA